AGATTTAAATAGTACATTGTTTTTTTTGGTATATAGTAGTTAATTTTGTATTTAATATTAGATGATTGGATGAGAGTCACGAGGCATCTAAATTAATTTATTTAATTATATTCGTTTAGTAAAGTTTTTATGGATCATTTAGTTATTGATGGTTTTGACATAATTTTTATTTTTTAAAATTTCAAAATTTATAATATTATAAAATTATCCGATTTTTTTAGTCTAATCTGATATATTAACGATATCTTTATATGAAGTATTTTTGCCGATCCGTATTTTTTTATCCAATTTTTTCATCCGACTTTTTAAAATAAAAACGATTTGTTTCTGATTTTATGGTGAGCTGACTCCAACTTGCTAACTATGGATACAACTCTAAATTTTGTTGGAATATGTAGTTCCATTATTGAAAACTTTATTATGGCTTGATAATCGAAAAAACGATGCAAATTGAACAAATCTATAAACACTTAGAAATTTAAAAAATAGACCATCCAAATAACTTGTTACAAGATTTACTATCTTAGAACTTGAAATTATTATTTTTAATTATATCTAAAAATTTCAATTACTATTTTAGAACTTAAAATTATTGTTTTTATTTATATCTAAAAATTTCAGGGTCGAGATGATTACTTGTAAGGTTTTCCAACTTAGGAACACTCTTTTTGCTGGATTTTTAAGGTGTACCGTATTTTTATAGTATAAATTTGCAACCTCATAAAAACAATTTCCATTGGTAGAATATGCCAAAAAAAAAAAAAAAAGCCCTACTAAGTTCAATGAGGCACTCAAATCAACTTAGATGGAAAATTAACATTAACATTTGTTTTTGTAGTATATTATGAAACGTCCTACAAATTTTAAATTTACACAAATAATTTTCGTTCAAAATGCCCTTGATTCAGAAATTATTGTTATATAGTGGTTTGTTTCTTCATGGCTTGAAACCCCAAGTTCCAGCCTACCTTTCTTTTGTAAAAAATGTGGTTTAGATTTGGGATTGTATAATGTGAGACTATTTAATTTTCGTACAAAGAAATCATAATTATTTTTAGCCAGTGAAATCAAGTCATTTGTGTTTGTTTATACCAGTGTTTTAAAAAACGGCGAGTCGAACCGGACTCGCCCGGTTCGACTCGGAAATTGCAAAAAGTGGATCGTATCGGTTAAAAAATCGGAAATCGTCCGGTTCTAGAGAGAACGGGATGATTCTGTACAGTGAATCGCCGATTCACTGTACGGAATCGGCGAGTCCGAACAGTGAATCGGCGAGTCCCGTACGGATTTTTTTTTTTTTTTTTTTTGGAATTCCTATG